TATGTCGGTGCGGACTGCTAGGGCACCAGAACTAGGCGGCGGCGGTGATAGGGTGGGGCGGGTGGGGTTTGCTGACGATGGGGGAGGAAGAGAATGGCCTATGTGCCACCGACTGGCAGGCCAGGGGAGGAGTAGGCGGGCGTCGCGCGTGTCCGCCTCGTGTCTGCGTCAACGCAAATGAGGCTCAAATTTGGAACAGGAGTGGGTCGCCTGGCAAACGAAAAACGGACGCACGTCTATTTGGGTCGGCGCTTTGGGCCGACTTTTGTATCTGTTTTGACCCAAACAGATAAGCGCGTACGAAATGAGTCGTCGCTTTGGAGTTGCTCTTAGTATCCGGTCTGGCTCTCCGCCTCTCCTACTGGGATCCCTGCACGCATTCATTATGGTGCACAACACCTGTCCTATACGGCACACACCTCTAAAATATATTTTTATATTAAAATTACTAAAATCCCCTTATTTCTTTTCTCATGGGGTAGCAGCCATTAGAGCTGGGTGAGAGGATTCATGTGAGCTGCTCCACCAGCTCGTAGCTCCTATCACTTGGGGCCGTGGCCATGGCTTGTAGCATGGCGTCAGCTACGGCATCCGGTGCTGCTCTCGCCTATGCTGGCGATTATTTTTAACTAGGCAAAAGATTTGTCATTTTCATTAATTAAGAAAAAGGTTTAAAGTTTTTAGCCAAGGCCAAATTACAAAACGTTACTCTCGCGACGCTACAATATTCAAATACTTGGCCCCTGTAAGGCACCAAAGCTTCGAAACATCTTCGATTCTAGCAACAAGAACCCCAACCGGCACCGCGATCTTACGGAAGACGCGTGCATTCCTCTCATCCCAAATTTCCCACGAGATCAGCAAAATAAGAGACATCATCGCCCGTCGAGATTGCGATGCGTTGGAGTCAATGAGGTTCCACCAAGTTTTCACCGAATGGACCGCCACCCAAGCTGTAGGGTTCACATCAACCAAGCCAAGCCAAGATGAGAAGTTGAGAACTGACTAGCCGCCAAGGTCCACGACGAAGTGCCGGACATATAACTCAGCCCCCATGTCGCTTCAATATTTGTTTCTCGTTCATGTCCAGCGACTAAGACCCGGCGGCGCCGGTGAAGATGGCCTCCAGCAAACTGCCCACTTATGTACATACACCTGGGCCAAGGCTAGCGAGTGCTCCGATGGTCTTGTATATGCCTTTTTTTTTACGTCCGGGCTTGTATCTGTGCTTCTTATGTACAACTAGAGTGCCACACTACAAACATGCTTCTTATATGTAACAATATGCTTTCATGAATTTTAAGGAATTAGTGACATGCAAGATTGCCAAGCCGTTATCTATGCTTCGGTTCTATTTTATTATTGCTTCAAAATGCCAAATGGTGATTTGAACACAGATTGTCTCATAAGCTGGGTGGGCTTATGTATGTGGTTGAGTTGTTTACCAATGTACATGTGTGTGTTTCGATGTACACTTGTTTCATTACTTGCTTCAACTCATCTCCACATATGCTTCTATCCTAATTTTATATACTTATTTTTTTATAAACATTCTACAGATAGTAGTACCCTTTGCTTTTCTTCTTCTTAATGTTACTTGCAGGAGATGATTTACCACCGCATGGTAATTGCCTACAAGTAGGGTATTGCCGAGGTCATCAACAAGCCATTGTTGTTCCACATCGGTGCCATCATCGTTAATCGTGGTTTCCCTCCGATCTCCTACATGTTTTTTTGGAACGAAGGCTCGAGAAGAGCCCGGCTTTGAATTAACAAAGCCATCAACCGGCCAGGATTACAAGGACAACAGCTTACAACGCAAAGAAAAGAGAACCGAGCGACGGATACAAGGGACTCAAGCAAAACAACTCAAGGCAGCAGCAAAAACGCTGCTACCAACACCCTACTGGACGACCTACACCAACAGAACAAAACTACGGTCTTGGTAGGACTGCACCGCCGCGCAAGCTTCGTGATCACAGCCACCCTCGGAACCAGCCATGGACCAGACCACCATCTGTTACTGCCTCTGCAAAGGGCCCCTACCCCTTCATCCTGGCTCGAAGGATGCCGTACCGGCAGACGGCGGCTCGGTTCACCCCAGAACCCAAATGGATGGCCTCCAAGCTGCAAGGAGAAGAGACTAGAGCAGGACCGCTAGCCCATGGCACACTACAAACAAGCACCATCATCGTCTGCGGCTCAGCCGCACCAAAGGGCGAGAGCTGCCGGCCACATCCGCAGAAGCAAGGGAAGCAGCGAAAAGTAGATCAAAGGCCAGCGCTGGATTCGCCGGAGCACAATGCTCCCACCCAAAGGTATATCGTTGTCGCCGAAGAGGGGAACCCGATCCCCTATTGCCCAGGCTCGTGGGCGTTGACCCACCGGCGACCTCGTCAGGGACCCTCCAGCAGCAACCTATGAAGAAACCAAGCTGTCTCCCGCCACCATCACGTCCACAACCAAACTCTCTCGCCGCCCCTGCAATCCCCGGACGGTGCCTCCAAGAAGGAGCACGACACGGACGTGCCGTCGCCGCCCGAAGCAGGGGACCTAGGCTTTCACCTAGCAGGGGCGGAAGGAGGGGGAGGATCCACACCACAGCCTCCAAGGAGGGGAACGGCGCCCAAGGCGTCGCCTTTGGTGTGACCGCCGCGCCGGCCAGGGGTTTCCCCCGGATCCAGCCCCGCCCGACGAGATCCGCGCAGCCAACAACCGAGAGCAGCGGCCTAAGCCACCAGGACCCAGATCTGGCCAAGGAAGAAGCAGATCGGGGCGGAGGGGGTGGACTTCATCAGTGGCATACCTGCGGGGAGGGATGCACACCTGCGACCGTTGACCGCCGCCACCTCGTCACCCGCGAGACCGAGGAGGCGCCTAGCTCGCACCGGCAGGGCGGCCCGCCGCCAGGACCACCCCACCCTCACCTGCCGGGGCCGCCGCCCCGCGTGCCGAGGCCCTGCCCGAGACGAGCAGCCGCCGAATCCCCGCCGCCACCTTCATCGGTGTCGAGCGCGCGCGCCGGAGCACACCTCAGGCGGCGACGGAAAGGAAGGGGGGGGAGGGGGCGCGGCTGTGGCGGCTAGGGTTGCCCCCGGGTCGCCTCGGAGGAGACGACGCGGGGGGAGGGCTCTTTTCTCTCCCAAAATGGGAAATCTTGAGGAAGGAGTCGATCTCCTACATGTTCCTCCATGGAAATATCTGTCTACACAACGGTGCCTATTCTCAAGTATGTACTATAAACCTAGAGGATCTTCTTATATGGTCTCGTTGGCATGTTTCCCCATGCACGCACCGCGCAATTGTGGTGGACCACTGTGGCATCATGCCCGAACGACACAGCCTAACCATGTAACCTTTCCGTGGTGTGTATGGACGCAAATTGATCATCAAGCAAATACTATTTTCCTTTAGCGTTCAAAAAATATAAACTATTTTCGTTTATAAGCAAATTATACTCTGTAAAACAAATATTTGCTTGGTTGGAAGCAAACACTATTTTGTCGTGTTGGAAGCAATTTAATGCTCCTCCAAAACAATTCTCCGTTTGTTCGAAGCACATATTTTGTTTGGAAACAAAATAAATGTTCTGTGCAGGACGCAAAAATAATTCCCAGGATTAAAATTACCAAAAATCAGCAATGTTTGGTTTATATGGAAACAAAATTTGCCTCATATGGGAAGCAACATCATACGGGATGCAAATGTTGCTTCATATGGAAACAAAACTGAAAAGTTTTTGAAACAGTTTTATGCTCAATATAAGGAAGCATAAAACACAGCGGGGATCTCTTTTTTCTAGAGTTATTTGATTTTTTTTTAAGCGCTAGAGTTATTTGATTCCTTAGATTAGATCAGAAGTTGATTTCACAAAACTCTGGAAAAACGGAACCAGCGAACAAGTAATAACAAATCCCACGTAATTAGGCAGTCACGTACAAGGAAACACTCAATTAGCCAACGGCAGTAGGTAATCTGGCGCATGGCTCAATGCATAGATAGTCTTCTTAAGAAATTAAGATTGGTTTTCGAAAAAAAGTTAAGATTGGAACCGGGAACACCCGCAAAATAAGGAAGAAGATTGGACCGAGATGCTAGCTAAGAATATTTAGATAACAAATTGTAGATTCACCATATTTGGCGTGTAAATCAATTAACAATGATGCACCAGATAAGCCGTATAGTATACTAATTTTCGCAAATAATGCATTTAATCACGAGATTACTAGCGCTATTCCAATTTTACCATAATTAATGCATTAGATATATTATACTACTCCGTGATCTCCACCGATCGGTCTCTATATAAACGCAACGAAGGGTGAACATGGCCAACGCATCAAGATTTTTGGGTCCTCATGGCAGTCTTTACGAAGAACAGCGTTGTTGCCGTGTGCTTGGGGGCTCTCATGCTCATGACCACCCTTCTCTCCTCGGAAGGTTCAGAGCTTGGTACGTACGTTCTCTTAACTAGCATCTACCAGTTTTCACGAGATCTATATACCTTGCGATGTTGAGCATGATGAATGTTTTTTTTATATTTCTGCACACGTAGTTATCCAACATGTGAATTAATTAATTGGAATAACAAATGATGTTATACGGTTTTGTTTGTGCGTGTGTGTGTGCAGTTGGATGTTTGGAGCCCCACCAGAACTGCTTCCCAGATGACTGCCAGAAGACATGCGTGGACAATATTCTTGGAAAACATGTGACAGGTTCCTGCGAACCGGAGCATGGCCCGCTAAAACCGTATCCGGCGCTTGTGTGTTGTTGCTATAGAGATGGTTTTCAAAAATGATAAACATGGCGCTGATGATAGGGTGCATCCATAAATAAGACCAACAGCTCGATCCACCTGTTGTAAATGAATTTCTTTGAGTAAAGTCAGATTAACAAAGTTGTGACCTACGTCAAAAAGTATATGTTATATTTATTTTTTTTGCGGGGGGAAAGCATTTCATTAATTAATTGATAACCATTTTACAATCATTCATGATGATAATGCTAATCTTCTGAGGGATATTTGCAAGCCAACATGCTGTGCGTTGTTGTCTACGTCCTATAGCTGCCATGGCATCTGCAGCTTTGTTCTGAGTCCGACTAATCTTTTGGATTTGTGATTGTCGTTCCTTGAGTAGGTCCAAAATTTCTGCAGCCTGAAACATGTTACTGGAACGATCCACCGTGCCCGCACTAATTAGCGAGATGAGCTCAGCACAGTCGGACTCCACCATGAGCGGCTTGTCGGACCAATGAAGGGCCAGTCTTAGCCCCTCCTCACAGGCAGCAAGCTCAGCCTCCAGTGGCCCTGGACAGTTGAAGATCCACCTGCATGCTGTGAAAATGACCTCGCCATTGTGGTCGCGAAGCACCATTCCCGCCCCCGCAGACCCATCTGCTACAACATACGACCCATCAAAGTTCAGCTTGACGTGGCCATCAGGCGGGGGTTCCCAGGAAGCTTCCACGGCTGGCCGGATCATCTCGCTGGAACTCTGAAGAATGCAGCCATCTAACAGGGCCGGATGTTTTCCTTTGGTGGGGTCTGAACGTGGGTAATGTTTTATCATAAGTATCGACTCAGCATATCCACATAGGAAGCGTTTGGAGACTTCAATTGGAATCATTGGTTTATCATGTGTAAGCTCATTATGAACGTGCCAAACCCGCCATAGCACCATTAGAACAAGCATGCGTTGTATCTCATTCAGCTCATGCATCAGCATCAACAACCAATCTGGCTTGTTCCTCCGAAGAGATTCAACATCCGGTAGATCCCACACAAGTCTCATTTCCTCCCATAGAATTCGGGCATGAGGACATCTAATCAGTGCATGGTGAACCGTCTCATCTTCCTGTCCACATATGGTGCAAGTTCCCACGGGTTCCATATGACGACGCCTCTTATTATCTTGAGTAGCTAGCGCCTCCCGAGCTGCTTTCCATGCAAAAACGCAGACCTTGGGTGGAGCTCCACACGTCCATAGCAACTTCCATGCCAGTCTTGATCCATCGGGTCTAGTACTCGACTCCCCAATTCCCTGTCCAGCCATGATCGCATCCCGAGCCATATTGTACGCAGACCTCACTGAGAATCGACCATGTCTATCCGGCTGCCATGCAATCGTGTCCGCTGCTGAACGGCGAGATGGTTTGATCTTCAAAATTTCTGTGATATCTGCTGGGAAGAAATGTTGCCTAAGAAGTGTGGTATTCCAGGACCCGTTGGTTGTCAGAAGATCAGCAACCCACTTCAGTCTACACCGACGCTTCGCTGTAATTGGTTTAAAGGTTGGGCCCCTTGGAATCCAAGGATCTCGCCAGATGCGAATGTCTGCGCCATTACCGACTCGCCATATGTAGCCTTGCTTTACTAGCTCAAGGCCATACTCAATAGCACTCCACGTCGAGGAGCCGTTACCCGTGAAGACCGTGTCTGTGATGGAACCAGCCGGGTAGTACTTAGCTCGCAAGACCTGTGCACAAAGACTTTCTGGGAACTGAATTAGACGCCACGCCTGTCGTGCTAACAAGGACTGATTGAACAATCTTAGATCTTTAAACCCCATCCCCCCTCTTCCCTTGGGTCGCAACATACTATCCCAACTTACCCAATGGGTTTTGCGCTTACCTTTTTCTGCACCCCACCAAAAGCGGCGAATCATCTTCGTAAGCTCGTCACAGAGGCCAGCCGGTACCTTAAACACACTCATGATATAAACCGGGAGAGCTTGAGCAATAGCTTTAATTTTTATCTCCTTTCCACCTAGGGAAATATGATTATCGCCCCACTCCATCAAGCTTTTTGCTAACTTCTCTTGGAGACTTTTAAGTTTCCCTTTACTCATTCTTCCGTCCGGCGTTGGGAGGCCGAGGTATTTCGCTTCAAAAGTCGTCTGGGTAACTTCGAGTGTACCTTTAATACTTTCTTGAACTGCGGCTGGACAACCAGGACTGAACAACATGGAGCATTTATGAGGGTTGATCACTTGGCCGGTCCCTCTAGCATACACCTCCAGAACATGTTTTACCCTTTCTGCCTGTTCACTTTTAGCTTTGAAGAACAACAAGGTGTCATCAGCAAACAACAAGTGAGAAATCCCCGGAGCTCGACGGCAGACTTTGAGCGGAGTGATAGTACCCTGGGTTGCTTCACGGTGCAGGAGAGCAGAAAGTCCATCAGCGACAAACAAGAACAAAAAGGGAGATAGTGGATCACCTTGGCGAAGACCTCTGGATGGGACGAACGAATCAAGAAGGGTTCCGTTGAATTTTACCGAGTAGCTCACCAAGGTTACACAGGACATTATCCATTCCACCCATCGGGGAGCGAAACCCAAACTCTGCATCGTTCTTCTAAGAAAGTCCCAATCAACCCTATCATATGCCTTAGACAAATCCAGCTTATATGCACAAAAGGATTCATGTTCCTTTTTGCAGTGCTCAATTGCATGGAAGCATTCAAATGCTACCAAAGCATTATCAGTGATCATACGCCCGGGGACAAAGGCACTTTGGTTCAAGGATATAATATCGCCAAGAATCGGCCGAAGTCTATTCACCAAGCATTTAGCCACTATTTTGTAGAGCACTGAACATAGACTGATCGGTCGAAATTCTCTTAGGGTCTCCGGCTGGTCTGATTTTGGGATTAACACAATTGCCGTGGAGTTAGTCTCTGACGGCATGTGTCCTGTAGCAAAGAACAGTCTAACCGCCGCAACAACCGTGTCCTTCAAGACTGCCCAGTTCCTTTGGTAGAAACGCGTCGGGAACCCGTCTGGCCCCGGAGCCTTTAGGGGGCCTATTTGAAACAGCGCATCGGAGGTTTCTTCCTCAGAGAATTCTTTACAAAGTGAGTCATTCATCTCATCCGTTACTTTCTTCTCCAGTAGGCTAATGATTTCGTCTGCATTCAAAGATGGGTCTCTAGTGAACAACTCCTTGAAAAAAGAAGAGGCCATCAACTCCATGACCGAGGGGTTAGACTGCCATACTCCCTCGTCATTTTTTAGCTTCTTAATCTTGTTCTTTCGAGCCCGCCATACAGAATTACTATGGAAGAACTTTGTATTTCGGTCGCCTTCTTTGAGCCAATTAATCCTTGTTCGCTGCAGCCAAAGGAGCTCTTCTTTATATAGCAGTTCGTTCATGCTATCAGAGAGTCTTCTAATCTCCAGCTGATCTCCATTGGTTTGCAACAACTGGTCAAGTTTCCTACGAGTGCTATCAAGCTCTCGCAAAATATTCCCAAATTTTCGTTTGCTCCAGCCCTGCAGATTCTCCATCACCTGGCTCAGCCCTGCAGTGACCGACGCCAGGTTGCCGCTGGTCTTTGTTGCATCCCACGCCCTCTGTATTAATTCTGGGAGTTCGCCAGCACGCTCCCAAAATATTTCGTACTGGCTGGTACGTCGGCGTTTTGGCAAGAGCTCCTCCTTTTGTAGGTGGATTAAGAGTGGCAAATGGTCCGAGTAGGGGGACACCAGGTGTACCACGCTCGCATCCGAGAAGATATCTCTCCATCGATCATCAGCTAGAGCCCGATCCAGTCTGACCTTTACGTTTGCTGTTCCTCTTCTCTTATTGTCGTAAGTGAATGGAACACCAGAGAAACCAAGGTCATGGAGTTCACAGTCCTGTACCACCTCTCGGAAAGCTGCAATCTGGCTAGCCAGACGAGGGGTGGCTGACATATGTTCACACTGCCAAAGAGCTTCGTTGAAGTCCCCCATGAGCATCCACGGGAGATCGCTGGTAGCTCGCAACTCTGACATTATGGACCACATACGGTGTCGATTTTTTGTTCGAGGTTCCCCATATACACAGGTTAGGCGCCACAAGGGGTCGGACGGGGAAGCACGGATATTAGCATCAATAATTCTAGCATTCTGATCTTTAATCTCCACTGACAACTGATCATTCCAAAACAGCGCTAAACCACCACTTTGACCATCACTCCTCACGCCGCAAAAACCACGTAGGCCTAGGCGATGGCGAAGGCGACGAACTTTTTGTGAGCTTTGTCTAGTTTCACATAAGAAAACAAACTGCGGACGGTGACTCTGGACGAGGGCGATGAGATCACGAACTGTCGAGGCGCCCCCGATTCCTCGGCAGTTCCAGCTCAGACCTATCATTGCTCCTGACGGGGCGCCGCACTAGGCCCCGTCAGGTTACCGGCAGCCCCTGGGCCGGTTGCCTCCCAATGTCCTTGTTCCATCCCGGTGATTTTCTTGCCTTTCGTCCTTGCCAGGTTCACAGATTCCCCATCAGTCGGCTCCGGGCGGGCAGCATCCAGCAAGGAAGTTCCGTTCTCGCCCCCACCGACCTCTGAGTTCACTGTACGCATCCCATGTTCAGACTCCCCCGATAGCACGAGCGTCTTCCTTGTTGCTGCTATCTTCATCTTCAAAGAACGCACAACTGATGAGCGGACACCATCTGGTGGATCGCCAGGTTTAAGATATGTTTCTCCGGTCCCCTGATGGTTCGTGGCGCGTGCAGCAGCCCTCCCGTCGGTGTCCCTGGAAGAGGGGTCAAGGGTAGTGGTGTCATCAGATTCCCGCCTCCATGCGAGTGTGCGTCTTTCCTGTGACTTCTTTCCGATCTGATCACATGCAGGGCTGCCATGGATACGAGGATCCAGCAGCAAGCGGGCGGACGAGGCCGCAAGAGGTCCATAGTACGCCTGGGCAGCGCACATGGAAACATCGCCAGCGGCCGCAAGGCCCGGGCCAGGCGGCGGCATCGCCCCTGAGTCGCCAAAAGTATATGTTATAATTATTGAGAGAAATA